ACATCCCAATCCCCGTTAAAATAGACTAAAATGGGTGGTGCACCTACCCCAAAACGGTGCCATTGGTGTTGACCCACGGACATTTGGTTGGGGGAAAACAGCCTAAGACTGGTTGGGTGTGCGTGTGCCTGTGAGTGCGCGTGTGCATGGCTGCGTGTGCGTGTGCGTGAGTGTGGGCCTGGGCGGGCGCGTGCGTAGGCGTCGGCGTGGATGTGTGTGTGTGTGTGTGTCCAGAATTGAATGAATGTGTGGTTGGTAAACAATAACAAATCAAGATTTTTTTGTTGGTAGGCCTTGTCTGCCCTTTCTGGGCAAGTCCAGTGCCTAGGTGCCCCCCGCAGAAACTGAAGAGGACCTCTTTCATGGTACAATTGCCGTGATAAAGCTGGCAACCGTGACTACTTTATCACGTCAAAGGGGTCCCCTTGACAGAACATGGTAAACCCATGTCTTCCAGAATCTCGTCTTTCCTCTGAGCACTCGGTCGATCTGCGCTTCTCCGTATTCCAGAGGCAACTCTTGGCCCAAGCCCAGAGTACACGCAAACCATCGGGTTCTTCGTATTTAGTTAGCTGGTTCTTGCCATCCGGTCCCATTTAACAAAGGGTATTTGGAAGGTTTGGAACCCAAACAAGGGGAAAGCCAATGGACTGGCCCTGGGATTTGGTCACTTTACAAAAACGGCAGACGGCTTCCAAGCCGTGCTCTTGCCACAAAGCAGAATTATGATTGTGTGGCCCTGGGTATGTCCTAGAGTCGTAATATGTCCTAGAGTCGTAATCAAACCATTTATTCAAGGATTCCACCCAAAGCATGGTAAAGAATCGAAAAGGCGGCTTTCCGAACATATTTCTGGTTGCGGCAATCCTTTACCAACATTCTTCGACCCGGAGTGACCCGGGTTTGGATTGTGGTTCACTTTGAAACACAAACACACATATGGGGAAAGCTGGGCCCAAAAATAGTGACATCCTCAGAATTTTCCACAAACGGCGGACAGTGGCTTAAAGGGAAACCACCACCCCCCGCCCCCGCCAGGCAATCTTGAGAACTCCTCAACATGCAACCACTTTCGGTTGGACCCAGATCAATGCCCCCCATCCCTTCCACTGACCCTGTAGCATTCGCAGCACAGCCGGCCCTGCCGGCCACAGCCCGATCGCGCCGCGAGAGTCTCCTGGGGTAGCAGGATAAAGTCCCTGTTCCTCGGCGCAAAGAAACCACAGGTCCAAACCCGACCGAAGCTTGACCCAACCCCAAGGTACAACAGAAACCACATGTTTAGAATGTTAATCTTCTGTTTTGGCAAAGCCTGCGAAGCTGGGCAGCGGAGAACCCCCACACCCTCAGTGGAGATGAACGACAAGGGTATTGAAACGGCAGGGGAACGACACATCCCAACTGCAACAAGAAGGGATTTCTGATTTCTGCCAGCCGCGGCGGCAAGCAAGGGCATCTCTTGGAAGTTACCATTCTATGCACACTATGAGCAACGTGACGGGCGAGTGCATCCAACCCTACACAGATTCAACACTGGCTAAAACATCTGAGCAACAATCAACCGTCCCCTGATGCTCCTACCAAACCGATTCTGGAACTTGGTGTGCAGTCTCTAGATTGATCCATGCAGATCAGTGGCAGTTCGGTGAGTCTCCCCCATATCACGCCCCCGTATCCAAATGTGATGCCTGTGTGACTCGAAGGCCAACGCCAACCACATGCGACCTGCATAGGGATGTGTTGTTCTTGAGTTGATAATTACTGATAAATACCAATTTTGGGGCGGGGTTCAGGGCACACCACCAATTTGGGGTCCCCTACTTTGACACACACACACACACACCGACACTCACACAGCCACCTGCCCGATCTGAATGTTCCTGGGCTTTTTCTCTCGACGAGTGACTCCCCTAGGCCGCTCTGTAGCTGACTGCTCCCAGGCCTCAGCAATTCGATCGATCTCCGCCCGCTCGGTCGGACGGAGTGGCGATCGTGGCGAACGGGCCGGGCCGTTCTGGAGGGGTACGACCCAATCCGCGGACCGCGGACGCCCCCAATTTCTTGGCCCAAGTCGTGGTACACACAAAAAAACTTGTTTTCAGAGAGCCTGTTTCATAGTTGGTCAACCCGAAGTGTCTCATTGATCTTGGAGACCCCGGCAACGGGATTGTGCTTTCGGACGCCAAAAGAGGCACCTTCTCTATAGTGGCTAAACACATGCTTTGCATTCAATCCATCCTTGGAAAAGCTACAGTGATTAAGTCTGCCTTAAAGTATGAGCGATGCCACTAAGAAGCAAACGGGAACGCACAAAAAGCCAACTTCGGACTAGTCTGGAGGTCCAGACCAATACGTACGACGAATCTTCCTGAAATGAACTGATTGCCCTTGAAGGGGAACAAACCCCAGATTAATCATAATCCGAAGTTGGCATTACCGCAGTACCTCTCCCGCTGGAAAATGAGGACGGCCCCCCCCCACCCGCCAAAACAAGGGATGGTAGCCCTCCCGCCCACCCTGAGAAAAGGGATTTATTGGTGAAAGTGAGCGGGGCCTTCCTGGACGTCCGAAAAGTAGGGGAGCATGTCCAACAAATCGTTTAACTGCTTTCCTTTGGTTTGCCTTTTGAACAACCCCAAGAACAGACCAAAAGCGAAACACTACCCAAAAAACATCCCAAGAAAGGCACCAAGCCCAAACATTGGCACAAGTATGCGTATACATATATATACATATATTAATGGGTGTAGTATCACTCAGAGTTGCCTGTAAACGCATTTGCGCGCAGTGGTATTTACCACGTATCATGCGTTTGCCGCCGTCGTGAGTTCATGTGTTATCATGTGTTTTTAACCCCTTCCGGCAGCTGCAAGTACTAATATTTACCACGTATCGCAGTTTTAGTCCGTCACGAACTTTGACGTTTTCAGGTATCGCACACGCCGGCCCCCCACTCCATTCATGCCAGCCACATGGTAAGCACACCCGCTCGCGCGCGCCCGCTCACCACGGCATCCATGCCAGCCAAGTGGTAAGCACATCCGCTCACGCGCATCCGCTCAGCAAGGTATCCATGCCAGCCAAATGGTAAGCACACCAGCTCGCGGGCGTGCCCGCTTAGCACTGTATCCATGCGTGCCAAGTGGACAGCACGCCCGCTCACGCACCCGCTCAGCACGGCATCCATGCCAGCCAAATGGTTTGCAATGCAAGCAAGAAAAGCGTGCTCTGCGCTGGGCTTTGGGGAACTATGTTCTCAGGGGTGTCCCAAAGTGCAGTTCAGACAAGGTTCCAACGCGCACTGCGTACTGCGTTCAACTCTTACCGATACTTCGCCGCTATATTAATATGTACAATATACACCCGAATGGACGAGCGCTACCTCAATTTCGCTAGGTGCAGCACCGGATAATGAGATCCGAGTTGTCGATCTCCGGGGGTCGCTCGCCTAGCAAGAGGGGTTTAGGGGCTACGGGGGTTTCGGGGCTAGGAAAAAGGGCTTGGGAAAGGGGGTTTAGGGCTCAGGGTTCAAGAGTTTGAACACGCCTTGCTTGAAGTTGCCGCTTTTGACAAAACACCCTAGCTGTACTGCCCACAGGAACTGCAATCGAACTCACTACCTGATCCGCTTCTGGGCTGACACGACAAAAACTGAAAATCCACATGGTGAACCCAAAGGAACAAAAAAGGGCCCCGGAACTCAGGGTGACTGCCAAGCAGTCACCAGGTGCATAGCAATGGCGGGTGTGTATCACGCAGGTGACGTTTAAGATTCGTAAGTTAGCCTCTCTGCCCGATCACCGCGTTGACCGAAATTGGGCTGGTTCCCTTATCGTTCTTATTGCAACAGGGAAGGGGTGGATGGGGTCGCTAAAGTACCACGTTGGGAAGCATTGAAGGGCAATGTTTGTGTGAAAACATGCTATGAAGGGCCTACACATGTGTTGTCAATCCAGTTTTGTAATTGCTAGCATTGCTTTGCGATGTTGCTTTTTGCAGCGCCCCACTGAAAATGAACAGACACCATGAAGCAAACAACCAAACAAGTATGCCAAGAACAACGAATCATGCTTCATCCTTTGAGTTTGATCGGACCATATCGGACCCCTGTTCCCATCTTCATTCAGAGAGGTGGTGGCGCCTCTGCCACCGTTGTGGGATTTGCTTCTCCAAAAGATGTCCTACACTTTGAGGGGCAACAGTTTTTTTGCCAAGGAGCTATTCCACAAATAGTGGCACAAGGGGAGACGTTTGGCCGCTAGACAAAGGGGAACCGATGAGCAATGTTCTAGCCAAAGTGGCTTGATCATCTTTAGAAACGGCTCAGAGCCGGAGCACCCCCAAACCGGACCATCCGAGTTGTCTGAATAGGGAAGCCCCCCAAAAGATTACACCAGCATAGACCCCAGATAGCGAAACGTGTGCCAACGATAGTACGCCAGCACCTCTAACAGCACTGCCCGAAGAGCACCTCAACCAACACCAAACAGCATCTCAAAAATATTGTAACACCTGCACAAGAATCCCCAAATTGCATGCCCCCTAGCACCCTGCCGTCAATCTCGCAACAACAACACCCCTGGCCGTCACCAGGCCCCCAAAAATAGTAGTTGCACCAGCCGTCAATCTCGCAAAACGCCACGCTCGTCACCAGCCCCTCAACACCATCCGCACCATCACCCGAACAGCACCCCCAAGCGGCACTCCCAAACCACCCGGCTGTCAACACCGTCACCAGCACCTCATCTCAAAACACCACCTGCGCCAGCACCCCAAACTGCATGCCCCCTAGCACCCTACCGTCGATCTTGCAAAAGTGTGCCCGCACCGTCACCTGCACACCCCAAAACAGCACCTGCACCAGCACCCAAACTGCATGCCCTAGCACCCTGCCATTAATCCAAATAAACTGCGCCCGCACCATCACCAGCTCAAACAGCACCCTAAACAGCACCTACACCAAAACCCCACACTGCATGCCCCCTAGCACCCAGCCGTCAATCTCGCAAATCACTTCCCTTCTTTATTAGAAGTTAGAACCCCTGAAGCTTTCAGCTATCTGGGGAAAAAAGGTTGTCGCCCCGGCCCGCTGTAAAAAAGCACCAAGAAGGATATCAACTCCACCAGAAGACGCGCCCAACATCCTTCCTTCCAGTCTGATAGGGACAAGCCTTCCCCCAATGCGCTCGCGCCTTTGGTCGTGCCACTGCAAGAGCGCTGCCTGGGCTGACCGGTGATCAGCTGCATATGGGTGTGTCTCCAAATAAGGGTCACCCCCCAAAAGAAACAAAAAAAACACTACAGGGCTAATGCCCCCATTCTTTCCAGGGATCTTCTTTCTCTGAACACCACTCAACGAAGAACGGCTAGTTTTTGAAAAGAACCAAGGTTCCAACGAATGGGGGCGGGCTTCAGCGCCTGTGTTTTCCCTTCAAAACAATCTCCAAATGGTTATGCTTGAACAAGCTCTTCGGGAAAACTCATGATTGGTTATTGATTGTTGAGCACCCAGCCCAGCGGGAACCCCCACCCATTTTGGGCCTTCTAGGAATTGTAGGCCAGACAAGGCAACAACTATTGGGCTCTACTTGGGGTGCTTGGCCGTCGGAAACTCGCTTCGCCCGGCCAAGTAGCAGAACTGCAGGCTGAGAGGGCAGGTCGTCCCTATCCTCGGAGCGCGCAGATTGCGTTTTGAACCCCGTACGCCATGGGAGGAGAGGATTCTCCAAGAGGGGTTAGACTAAACATATAGTGCCAACATAATTCGGAGTCCAACTAAGAAGTGCAACCGAAGAAGAGAAATGGTCACAGGGTGCAAAGTGGAGTGGGCAGTGGATTTCGTGTTGGTGTCCACCGTGTTGTCAATATTGAAGCAACAAGTCGTGTCGGCACATACATGAACTACGGTCAACATATGTGGTGTCCACAATGGACATGGGAGAATGAGTGAGTCCCCGGTTTGTTGGTCTGGTTTTTCCAACAGGATAAAATGGCGGGTGTCCGGAACTGGCAATTTACCACCCTGGGCAACATTGGACAAAAACCTCTGATCCTTGAGCTTTCTCTTTCAAAATCATTGAAGGGGAGGACAGGTTTTGGTTCGAGAAAGCTTTCTGTCCGTAAGCCCAGTTTCATGCTCCACCCAGATGTCCGTTCTCCTTGGCTTCCCTCAGTAAATGGACCGCTGAAGATGAATGAACGTGAAACAGCCCCGAAGGGCGAGATGCCACAACAAAACCAGAGGCAACCTCCCCATGTGCTAAGTCGCAAGAGGTTCACGTTCCAAACCCAAACCACCTCCAACTTGAGCCCCAGCCCCGGCTTTGCTCAAGCTTTGCGTCCCCTCCTATTTTCAATGTGATTTCTTTCCGCTTTCCCACCGAGCCGCGAAGTGGGTGTAGTCCTTCCAGAGGTCCCACCAACGCATGCTGAGCACAAACCAGTCATCTCCTGGCACCGAACTTCCCATTTTGGCAGGGCTTCAGAAGCAACCTCGTCCACAGAACTCATCCAATGGTCACTGGTGAATCTGGTGCGTTGCGGGCGTGTCAATACGGGGTTCTTAAAAGTCGGGACTCCCTGTTGATTCGGGACTCCCTGTTGGATGGTGGTGGGTAAGAAGGAAGCCAACCGATATTGGGGATATAGTTTTTGCGGGCACAAAAGAATGCAGCTTTCTGACGCCATCAACAGAACTAACAAACCTCTATTTGATGAACAGTGGAAAATGTCCCAGTTTACACAGGATCCTGCTCTTTTTGGGGAACCCCATTACCCAATTGTGCCTGGTAGAAAAAGGGCAATTTGGACTATTTTCGGCCAAGCCATCAAACAAAAAGGGACACAGGAGGCGACTGCACAGGTCACCAGACTCGATTTACCCCCTCCTGCCCGCAGCCGCGCGCCCGCGCTGCGCAGCGCGGATCGTACCTCCTCGGCCTCGCGGGAAACCAGGAAAGGGGGGGTCCCCTTGATAGGGGTTCCTATAAGGCACCTGGAAGGAAAGCAAACTGAGTGGTTCAAAGAAAGCTGGAAGGAAACCATCTATCTTTGGCCTGGGTGTTCACTATTTGAGAAAAGCCTGTATCCAGTAGCCTCGTGAATCCCACTTTCCACTACAGGTAGTCCGGTTGCCAAAGGCAGTTCAAGTAAGATTGGCAACTAATTTGTCATGTCTTCTGAGTCTTCCAAGGACCCTGAAGAACCCCATCTGTCTTGATGTTCCTCTTGGTTTCAAATAAAGGGTCGGCCAAGGGCCCCTATTCTCACGGATTGACACCAAAGCGGAAATGCCATATTTGCCCCGTGCTTTTATGCCAAGGAAGCAACCCGTAGGCGCACAAGATGGCCAGGTGCTTGCAAAATCAACACGTGCGATGCGGGGAGGGGGGGGACCCAACAACCTCAACCTCTGGCCAAAACAATGCTCGCAAACTGACCCAGAAATTCAACTTCAAGGGAATCAGCCTTCAACCACCAAATGGAAAATGGATGGCTGCCTATGAAAGTACCTGGGATCCACCAGGTGGGCAAATCAAAACGCACACCATTAAGGGTACGTCCATACCACCAAGGGATGTTCATTCCACGCAAACAAACAGCGCGGTTGTCCTGCCTGCTGCAAAGGGTCGTCGCTGTCCAGCGACATCCGGGGAGTCGAATTCGACTTTTTTTGCTGAGACCCGACTTCGGGCTTGGCTGGCTGGGAAGCTGCGTTCGGCTTGCTCCGGTGTGTATGGCGACCCAAGCTTTGGGATCACCTTTGACGGCACAAAATGGCACGCCAAACACCAAGGGGGCCCCTAGTTTCAAGCCAAGTTCTGGAGCAAATCAAAATCCTCATGGTTGCTCGCGATAGACGGCTGGGTTAGTCTTGAAACAAACTTGAAACTTGTTGTTTCTCCCTGAGAGCAATCCCCTCAGATAGCTGCAAGGCCGATGGTCGAGAACGTGCACGGAAGAAGCGAGTACTCAAAGCCTGGCAAAAAAGTCCCAAAATCGCACGACAAAGTTGAAAGGAGGGCTGCATGTGTTTATGTTTGGGACTACTCACTGCTTCTAAACTGCAACCCAGGTTGTATCAAGTTCTGGATTGCTACAGCCCCTGCCTTACCTGTTTGCATTGAGTTGACATGCGGCAGGTGCAGCGATGTTGTGTCAGACTAGGACTACATGAGAACTTCTCAAAGTTAGGGAACCCCCAAACAAATTGAGGCCAAATGTCGGCTTCCTTTTGTTTACGCTTCAAAGCCAACTCGAAAGCGGTACCCCTTCAAAAAGGACCACACCCACATGGGCGCTCTGAGAATTGGCATTGGAAGGAATAAATCCCATGGAAACAGAATTCTTAGCATTTGCTTTTTCGAGGCTCGGGACCGCTTTGGGGCTTTCCAGGAAAACCACCAGGAAATACAGGGACTTCCTGTCTATGCATGTACATATCTGTCTATATATATATATGCATAGTTGTACGAATATATACATGTATGTATGAAATGTAATGTAATGTGACGTATCGCAATGTAATTAACGTATGGAAGCTGGACCAGGACACAAGGACCCAGCATTGGGTGATGCACAAGTCCTATCTGTCCAGCCAGTCACCCTTCTCTTTAGAACAAGACCCAACCCCGAAGAACATTGGTTATTTCTGAGCAGAAGGATAGGTGACACTAGTGGAAAAGGAATCAGCTCTTCGAGAAAGGCTCTCCTGCCTGGCAAAGCTCAAAACATTCCACTCCAGACTCACTGATCCAAAGAAAGCCAACATCATAGCCACGCATCGTGATTGGTGTCCTCCCTCTTCTTTCCAGGTTGCCCAGAGCGTGAACTGAACCGCTAAACCAGGCTGCTCACCAACAAGCGTAATGGGGATTCTATATATATAGTAGATGCGTACCCCATGTTTGCCTTGGGCATCATCCCAAAAGGACCCTATTGTATGAGTGTAGCAGAGAAGCTTCCCGCGTCCCCCCTTTCGTTCGCGAGCCCTTTGCCAAGGGAAAGGCCCGAAGGTCAAACGCTCAAAGGGTGATGCGATTGGGCGCGAAGAAGGTGCAAGCAACCAATGACCCCTTCGGTAGGATTAGAAATAGAACCCCTTGACAAAAAAGCAAAGGGCGCCACTGACAAACTGGACTGACAAACTGGGACCTTTTTTTTGGGAAGCCGTGGCCAGGCAATGAGCCCCTGGCACCCTGTTTCTCCTAGACTTGTTCAGGGCGGCTTTGCTCTACCACTTCGCTCAGATGACCTTTCCAAATCTCCGCGATTTCGCGTGAAATCCAAACTTGAGGAATCTCCTTTTCCGAGCCCTTGGGTCCCATGGCCCCACCTCCACCTGACGCCTCACAAAGCTGACCAGCAGCTGCAGTGCCTAGTGGGCGGAAGGGGGGTCTGTGGTGTGTCACAGAGAAACCCAAAAGCAAAGGTTTGTGGAAAGTTGGCGCAAGGAAACAAGCTGAAAACCGAAAGGAAACGGAAAAAAAAGAAAACGCAAAGGACACCCTTTGAAGGAAACATAGTACGTCACCTCCTTGCAACTTCCTTCAAACTGGTACAAAGTACAAGGAATACACAAATGATTCCTGGGTTCAAGTCTGTTGGGGGTGCCCAAGAATGTGAAACTCCGTCTTGGGTGATTTTCAAAAGGCTTGGCCAAAAAAATGGAGGAAACTCAAGGGACCAAAAAAATGAAACGCCAAGCGAACTCTGGGATGAAGGGGAAGGGCAAACAGAAATGACCACTTTGAGGGTGCTACAAAATTCAGACAATAGTCCTGCACCACTACATATTTACAGTAGTATGGTTGAGAGTTGCTGTATTGTTCAAGAAGCACATCCAATGACTGTTTTACGTTTTTCATGTTGCAGAGAGTTTGGCTGCTTTGTTCAAACCATGTTCTCACGATGACGTGAGTGTTTCCATTTAACACGTAACACTCACAAACAAATTATGCTGTTCTATGAGATGGCGGTAGATTGTTTGGCGTATTGCTGTTTATGTCTGGCTTGTTTCACTTCTTTACTAGTTGATGTGGTTTGTTTTCTGAACTTCGACATTGACCTTGCAGCTGCTTGTTGTGGGGTCCTGACATGTCCCCCATGTTCTCACAAAAGGGGGTAACTAATTAAGTGAGCCAGTAGAAAGCGATCTTGTTCACTCTCATGAAAGCTATGCGTCCAAAATGAGCTCAGGACAATTTGGGAGGCGGGCTTCGAAGAAAACAAACACGAAAATGATGTCCGTTCGCGCAGTGGCTGACCTTGATTGGGCCCTTGTGCTTTGTTGTGTACATGCGCAACACAGTTGTCCATGGGAAAGGTAGTTGATATTGAAGGGAACCCTACCCAAACAAAAGGAAACAGAACCCCCGGGACCAATCACGAGCATAGCGGGTCCACTTGCGGCTTGCGCCTCGGCCCAACGGAGCCGCTTCTCTAGCGCGGAGAGGGCTGCAGAGAGCGTTACCACCTCACAGGGTTGCTGCGAAGAGCCGAAAGCTGGTCCTTGGTAAATGGACACCAAGGGAAACCGTGGTCTCAACCCTTGGGCAAATGATCGACTTTCGCGGCCCCGGGCGCTCACTTCGCCATGTATCTGAGCTGTTGAAATGCTTGGGGCGGGAACTCCAAGAAGATGTTCCAAAATCCCTATGTTGACCTGCATAGTTGACTGGCCAGCCAAAAACATGACTTCATCTGGCCTATGTTCAAGAGGAACTCATCCAACAAAAAATGACAAGCGTGCCAACTCGACAGGCATGTATGTATTGAGAAAATGGTGGAACTCAAAAAGCCAAATGGGTGTGTCCTAAATTTGGGGAGCCACAAAATAGATCTCTCTTGATACTACCCCAAAAGGGTGCCCTCGAAAAAGACAATCAACAGGCAACTGGGGCAAATGAGATCTATGCAACACTCCCCTACAAGGGAAGACACCCGTAAATAAACGACAAAAGCGTCGTCGACGTTGAGACCGCCCCGCATAAGGCTTGTGTTGGACCATTCCCAACCAGTGAAGCCGTACCTCATATGGCGGAAGCAGTCTGCTCAAACTCTGACTCTTCAAAATGCTTCGGGTGGGCCAAGTCAATTTCCCTGATCCCAGTTGGGAAACCGCTACGTAGGAGAAGAACCAAATCTGTTTGTGACCTGCAGGAAGGATTTCAGGACCAGCTTTCACATAAAAGCATGCCTTTTCTGAGAGTACCCTTTTTGGGGTTAAAACGGAAACCAACGGGAAGCACCCATTTTGAGGCTTTCCCCTGTTCAGCACACATTTGCGATCATACCCGGCTGGCGAAAGTCGACACATACTACAGTTCACATCGTTCCCAATAATGGACTCCCTATACTCAGTTGAAAATCAACACATTCCTCAAGAAGTGCTTGGAAACACTTTTGAAGCGGGTGATTCTGCCCTGAATATTGAAAGGGAAGGAGGCAAAACATGTCGTTGGTGTACGTGCTATGCTAACAAAAAGTAGAGCGGGCGGTTGACGTGAATTGAGGTCCTGGCCCGTCAATGGGCTAGTCATACTTGTCCGACAAAGGACCCTCATGATCGACTCCTCTAGTGCCTGGCAACCATCTTCAAGGGGGTCCCTCTATCAAATGTCAAAAGGTCCTTTGTGATTCGTTCAAACTTTCCGGATTCGAACACACCTTTCACGGCAAACGTTCAGGGGTCTGTTGTTTAATCAAGTTGATTCTCACATCTCTTTCTGCATCCCCTTGAAGATGTGTCTTTCCCATCATCTCATTTCTCCTGAATCTTGTCTAATTCACATACCCGACCCCGCGTAAAATCGGCCCTGGAGTGAGGAACAAAATACACTCCTCATGGCCCTTCGACAAAAGAAAACCAGGATTCAAGCAAACCTCCAAACAACAAACTTGCAGGGTTCACTTGCAGGTTCTTTCACAACATCGTCCGTGCCAGGGCAAGCCACACCATTGTTTCAGCATGTGCCTTAGTTGGAAACCCAGTGTTATGGGTGGAAAGCCCAAGAGTTCCAAGACGGCTGGGCCCACCGGCATTGCTGGGTGCCCGGAGGGCGGTGAGGGTGCTCTCCTCGGGGGAACATGTCAAACGAAGAAAGCAAAGGCCTATATATATCTTGGCAAATTCCGCTGGAAACAATCCAAATCGCTTTTTGCAAATTGTTCCCTTACAACGAATTAGAGCAGAAAGCTCTGACTCTTGCTCAAGCCGTTCAGGTCCTGACCCACTGCACTGCTTTCTGGTAGGCTGTCATCAGGGAGCTGTACCTGACACATTGACTCGACCTCGAAGGGGCCCGTATATTCCTTCAAGCTTAATATCACCCCGCCAAGCATCACCCCACCAAAAAGGAAACACGCTTTTGACTGGCTCAAAAATTGAAACAGGAAAACGAAAACATGCAAGAACGCCTGCTCCACTGTAGCAGGTGAGTGTGCGTCTGGTGCAGGATCCTGCCACGAGGAGGGTGGAATTATGTTCTTTTAAACTAGGACAGGCTGAGCAGTCCTAGCGCTGGTTGATCTTTGGACTGGCAGTTGCTCAGGGCTGGTCTAACTCAGGGAACCGCATTTAAGAAAAGAACAGCTTCAGAAACACACACAGTCGCGCCCATTGCGGCTGGGACTGTGCTCCCACCAATAGACCTTCAACTTGCTTGCGGCTCACCTGCTTATGAGG